TGTTGAAGGTGATCTGAATCACCTTTAATCACTCACCAATGCCTTCAGCTCCTCCCCAATCACCTCTCAAAGGGTTAGGACTTAGATGAAATTCAAACCATGCTGGACAATTGCCAACCTTAGAAAAACTGACAAAGTAGGCCATGATATCATGCAGAGGAGCTATCAGCTGTAGAGTTTGCTTTAAGGCTTTAAAAGCTGCCTATGGATAGAATCAATACAAGGAAATACGTTTTAGGAAGTTTCTAAGAAGCATATAAACATATAAGAGTGCTGAATAGGGACAACATCTTTAAACAAGAATATATCAATAAACATTGCCATAGTATATACAGGATTAAATCAGAAAAAGAATAAACCTATACATGAACCAGGGTTACATGCCCTTGGACACAGGGACTCCGGTGGGGATTAAAGCAATGTGTTTCTTAGTTTAAAGTCATTGGAGTCTATGAACACATCAAAGTGTTTGTATGACCATCAAGGAATTACAAAAGTCACAACTACATTCATAGAAGGGACTCATATTCAGGCAACATTATCTTGAGAGAATATCTGTAAGCAAGGTATAGATATTTATCAACATTGTTTAAACCAACACATGACTGAAAATCAAACAATGGATCTTATATATCAATGTCCACGTGAAGGAAAAGTGAAAAATTATGATCTAATTGAAGAAGGTAGCATTTTCATATTTTTAAAAATAAAAATCTGAAACTTCTTCAAATAAAAGTAGGGGTAAGAAACCAAGGTTGAGAAACAGGATTTTACTTACAAAGAAAAATCAGAATATTTCCCAAATGCCATTTTCAACACTGCATTCTATTTCTTTAGCAAATACTTAAGTGTTTTATGTGTTTTTATGTTTTCTTTTTTAAAAAATTGTTACCCATCGATGATAGACTGGACAGGGAAAATGTGGCACTTATACGCCATGGAATATTATGCAGCCATCAAAAACGATGAGTTTGGGTCCTTTGTAGGGACATGGATGAACCTGGAAACCATCATTCTCAGCAAACTGACAGAAGAGCAGAAAATCAAACACCACATGTTCTCACTCATGGGCGGGTGTTGAACAATGAGAGCACATGGACACAGGGAGGGGAGCACTACACACTGGGGTCTGTTGGGGGGAAATAGGGGAGGGTCAGTGGGGGGTGGGGAGTTGGGGAGAGATAGCATGGGGGGAAATGCCAGATATAGGTGATGGGGAGGAAGGCAGCAAATCACACTGCCATGTGTGTGCCTATGCAACAATCTTGCATGTTCTTCACATGTACCCCAAAACCTAAAATGCAATAAAATAAAATAAAATAAAATTGTTACCAGCATTGCCCTTGATTAGTGAGGTACATAGAGCAGCCATCAAAGAACAGTAACCCCCAGTTACAAGTGTAATATCGATCTATCACTAGCTTCAGAGCATCAGTGGAATTTTCTGGAAGGGTTGGAAGGAAATCAAAGATTAATAAGAAATGTCAGAAGCTCAAATTAGTATTCACTAGTGACCAGGGAGAAAGAGAAATCATAGCATAGTAAGGCCCAAGACAAATAATAATAAAGCAGAAAGAGCAGCCGTGAAAAAACTTCAGTAGTTAGATATCTGAATAAAACAAGGGATGTTCTCTGGAATTGATATGTTTAACTGTGAGACAAAAACCAGCCAGTTTCCATTCTGGCACACATGCAAAAAAAAAAAAAAAAAAAAAATACAAACCTTTTCTGGCAGAGTTTTCTGAACATAACTAGCACTTCAGAAGAATGGGGTATGAACCATAAACTGAGGAAGACATTTCCATCCTTTGACGGCAAACATCGAGGCAGGGGCTGACATCTCCTGCAAGTGTTAGAAAAAAGTACCCATAACACAGCATTTCCCCCTAAACAAGAGGTGTCATGAATGACCCTGTTGAATCACCGCCCTCCCCTCCGTCACACAGGCCTGTCACCACAGGCCCAGCTTCCACGCCCTAGAGCAGCCCTTTTCATGCTGCTCCCAGGTGGCCAGTTTATAAATAACTCAACAGGAAGAAGAGCAGTTAGGCTGATTTTAGCCAGAGCTATGTGGGAGAAGGAGTGGGGATAGAGGGAGGGAAAGGCTTGGTAAGAAAGGACAGGAAGGCCATGAACTAGATGGCCAACACCACACTAGGTGGTTCATATTTTGTGTCACTTAATTCATCTGGCAACCTCAGGATGGACCTATTTTGTTCCTCTTCCACAGCTGAGGAAATGCACGCCCTGAGAAGTTATGGAGATCTACCCAGTTCCTAAAAGATGAAGTTAGAGTACAAATGTACATCTATCTCTCCAGCTGTAGAATCTGGATTCTACAACCAGGCTCTGTTTCTCTTCCCTTGCCACCACATTTCTTGCCAGGTTCTCCAGCTTCTGGCCTTCTTTTTCTCCTTTCTCCTCCTCCTCCAAATACCTTATTATTTCTTTTTTTTTTTATATTGCATTTTAGGTTTTGGGGTACATGTGAAGAACATGCAAGATTGTTGCATAGGTACACACATGGCAGTGTGATTTGCTACCTTCCTCCCCATCACCTACATCTGGCATCTCTCCCCTTGCTATCTCTCCCCAGCCCCCCACCCCGCACTGTCCCTCCCCTATTTCCCCCCAACTGACCCCAGTGTGTAGTGCTCCCCTCCCTGTGTCCATGTGCTCTCATTGTTCAACACCTGCCTATGAGTGAGAACATGCGGTATTACCTTATTATTTCTTATTAAGGTTAGTCAACTCTTTGTTTAGTCATCTCTTTGTTGCAGGTTTATATACAAACATATTGTCCACATAGGTCTGGTTTAAGGATTCACACAAGCCCAGGCACCCACCACCTGGCCTGAGAAACAGAATGTTGCCAGCACTCTTGAAGCCTGATGTGCACTTCCCTGGTGGCCCCCAGATGAACCACCATCCTGAGTTTTTTGTCTTGCTTTTCTTGGTGGAAAATCCTTGGTGCACCCATGCTGCTGCAAATGATTGATTTGTGGGTTGTTAGGTTGATTCTGTATCTTGGTTGTTGTAAGTAGTGCTACCATAAACATAAGTCTCAGGATTTTGATCAGTTAATTCTCAGCTCAGGAATAAAGTATGGTTTTAGTTTGGAGATTTGCCTTTCTGTTAGCAACCACAAAGTCACACAATTCCTGTTCTGAAACAGATCAAAACCAGCTTAATCCAGTCTCATCTCTATTATACAGTTCACAGTGTTCATTCCTGCCCAGAGGTGACAATGAATATCAAAAATAAAAAGTTGCAACTTCTGCATCTGAGCGCATGGACCTGCAGGCCACATGCTGGCAGCTGCTGCTAGCAGCAAGACTGAACCAGTCCTTGGCCTCTGAGAAGAGGCCCTGGAGCCACAGAGCCCTCTACCAAGTGCTACCCTTTACTTCTTATCTGTTGGTTCCTGCCATTTTCAGCCCTGCTTGCAGCAAGCAGCCATCGGCTGAGAAGAACAGAGATGACCACAGAAAGCTTTAGGTGCTCAGTACAAGAAGCACAGCCTGGTTCTCAACCCCACAGGGAGACTTGCCCCTGCCCCTTGTGGATGGCCTGTCAATTACCTGGCCTGGCAGTTCCCCAACCTGCTCAGCACTGTCCCCTTTCATTCCCCTTCAGCTGACCACTTCTGGGCCACACCCAAGACTTTATGATCCTCTAAAACCATATCACCTCCAAAGTCTTAACTTTCCCAGCCCCACATTTTATTCCTTCAGCTTTCTGTCATCCACTCCCACTAAACTTCCCTTCCTTTATTCCCCCAAAATAGGTGCCTTGACATTATCCAGTCCTCTGGTCCCCACTTCCATTTGTCAGCTCCTTTCTGATCTGAAACTGGACCTTTCCTATCCAGACTGGGTCTCACAGTCAAGCACATGAACTACTCTCTTCCCAGCACCTTCAATTCTCTGCTGCTTTGTAGTCACAACCCACCTACCTGTCAAAGCCCCAGCAGGGTCCCTCCAACTACTCAGCTTTCTGTTTCTGAGTGCACGTTGCTAAGCACAGCTGGAGGAAATCACACTGCTAATTATACTGATGGAAATTGTTTCCAGCCTGAGTGATGACACCCTGGAACAATCCTTTTCCTTTCCTTTGATCAGCTCTCATGCCCATTTTCTTGTTTCGTAATTCCAAGCCTTCTTTAAGGCCCCCATGCCAAATTCCTGCCAGCAGATGATAACATGGTCTGCTATTTCTTGACGAAATTAAAGGCCGCTGCTGGAACTCCCTCCCGTTCCTGATGGCCTGTTTCCCCAACTCCCACCCCTAACACACACACCCTCCCTTTCAACCAGGGTCAAAGTCAGAGGTGCACACCTAGATACAAAATGAAGACCGTCTCTGCCCTCCATGCTCTTACCTTCCAGACCCAGCTGGCAACCATGACGCTGTGTAGCAGCATGGCTAATGGAAGTGTATGACAGTGCAGAGGATGCCCAACAAGAAGCACCTGAGCCTCGTTGGGAGGCTGGTGGAAGAAACTCACAGCTGAGACTTCTGAGCTGCAATTTCTCATCCCGCTCCATATCTCTTTCTCCCAGTGGCATTACCATCTTTCCCCTCCATAAAAAAAATTGTGGGGCCGGGCGCGATGGCTCAAGCCTGTAATCCCAGCACTGTGAGAGGCCGAGGCGAGTGGATCACGAGGTCAAGAGATCGAGACCATCCTGGTCAACATGGTGAAACCCCGTCTCTATTAAAAATACAAAAAATTAGCTGGGCATGGTAGCGCGTGCCTGTAATCCCAGCGACTCAGGAGGCTGGGGCAGGAGAATTGCCTGAACCCGGGAGGCGGAGGTTGCGGTGAGCCGAGATCGCGCCATTGCACTCCAGCCTGGGTAACATGAGCGAAACTCCGTCTCAAAAAAAAAAAAAAAAAAAAAAATTGTGGTAAAATATGCATAACACAAAATTTACCATTTTAGCCTTTTTGTCTGTTTTTCAGAGCAGGAGTGGAATTTTATTTAAAAGCCTTTAGGGTCCTTTCGTGGTTCATGAGCATGATGATTGGCTGTTCATACATGTGTGTGAGATGTGCTATCCTGGAACCGTGTTACTACGTAGGCACATTACCTGTCTGACCTCAAACTGCTACTGGGTGAACCCCAGGAAAGGCAAAATATGTCACTCAGGACACGTGGAATTTCTGTGCCGTTTGTGTGTTGTGGGGAGAAACACCCAACTTCTCTCAATACATTGCGAGTCCCATTGTATAGGTGCACATTTGATGGCTTTGTATTTGCTGAACCCCTGGGAGGACGGGCACAAGACCAACACATTTCAGATTCGTTGGGCGACATGGCCACCCACGTGCTCCCCACGCGGCCTCTGCTGTGGGCCTGCCACGAGCTCGCACAGGCTCCCCTAGAATTACCCCGAAGGCCGTTGGGCGCCGCCTGTGCTCCCCGGAAACGGGCTTCAGCTCCCCTAACGTCGTGATGTAGCTGGACTCGGAGCCTGGGGCGAAGCCGGAGCCCAGGAAGCGGGACTGGGCGACGGAGCCGGGGTCGGGCGGGGGGTCAGAGCCGGAACCGGAGTCCGAGCCGGAGGGAAGCCGGGGCGGGCCGGGGCCAGGCTCCAAGAGGCCGCAGGGGTCCCAGACAGAGCGCAGCTCAACGCCACAAGGTCCGGGGCCAGGGACGTCCCGGAGTCGGATGAGGAACCGGAATCGCAGTTGCTGGAGCAGGGGCAGGGGCCACAGCCATCCCCGGGGTTGGAGGGGACGACCCACACCTACCAGAGGTGGAGACCCCAGAGACCCTGTCTGCTGGCGCCACTGCCACTCCGACTGCCTGGAGGCGTCGCTCTCTTTCCAGTGGCCGGAGTGGCAGGCGGGAGCGCACCCCTGGATCTTCCTGCCGGCACCCACAATGCTGATGGCCGCGCTGGCCACCGGCTTCCTTCACCGGCCCAATGACGAAGGAGAATATCTGAAGGAGCAGTGCAGCCCGGTGAGGAGCCCAGCCAAGGCGGAGAGACGCTTTGTGCAGGGCTATTTCACCACCAAGATTCCTACTGCCTCCACGAGGTGCACTCAGGCGAGTTTCACCTGGATGCTGGTGGGTTCCCACAGCAGCTCACTGCTGGAACCGGACATCTTTGCAAAGTCAGTAAATCCCACGGTGCCGGATCTGCGTGCAGCACAGTGAAACGGAAGACAGATCCAGAACAAGCAGGTGTGCTGAGGTACAGGAGGCTGTGTGTGCCGCCCAGCCCGTTCCTGTAGGCCTAGCAAGTGGACAGAACGCTCCACCAGAGCTACAACCACAGTGAGGATCCCTCTATCTGATCGGCTTCTTTAGAGGACACATCTTGGGACACAACTGGCCTAGGTAATGGGCCAGTCACTCCTGCAGGCCAAAGCCATGTGGCTGCTGTACTGCTGAGGAGCACCCTGAGGACAACGTGCAGAACAAGCAGTGGCTCACCCGTTTCCTCAACCAACTTAACAACATTAAGAACAGTTTGGCCTTAAAGAAAATTGAGGTACCTGGCAGTTCAGGTTTACAGGGAGGTCAGGAGAAGGCGGAGGAATGAGGAAGACTTGCTCCAAGCACCCTAACAAAAGCACTGCATGACTACTTGATGAGGTCCTTGCTCACAGCTGGGTTTGCTCTACTGTATTTGGAGACAGAGTCTTGCTCTGTCATCCTGGCTGGAGTGCAGTAGCACTATCTTGGCTTACTGCAACCTCCACCTCCTAGGTTCAAGTGATTCGCTTGCCTCAGCTTCCCAAGTAGCTGGGATTACAGGCGCATGCCACCACACCTGGCTAATTTTTGCACTTTTATTATAGACAAGATTTCACCATGTTGGCCAGGCTGGTCTCGAACTCCTGACCTCAGGTGATAAACCCTCCTTGGCCTCCCAAAGTGCAGGGATTACAGGCATGAACCACTATGCCTGGCCAATCCACCTTTCTTAAATTAACACTTGACAGATGCCAGAAATTGTGAATCCTTGGTAACATTCGGATCAATAACACAAATCTTGTGTCCACCCCATGAGGCCGTTAGTACAGATATTAATGTTCATGTTTAATTTTGGGAGGTAGTTTCTAACCAAATTAAAGAAATTTGAAATTCTACTTTTGTTGAAGTTTTGTTGGTTTTGGGGAGCCCCCAAAACTTGCTTGGAGCTCACTGAGTATATTTTTTGTGGCAAGTGGTCCACATTACATTGCTTTCCACACAACTGGAATTTGAGGCAACTTCCATGACAGTAATCTCTTTGTTTCACCTGGCACACATTCTCATCATACTGTTTGCCAATCATACTATTGTTGCTACAAGTTCTGGATTGAAAGTATCATCCGTGAGCCTCAAGAACACGCTGGACTGGCCCATCCCACTCTCACCGGTGATGAGAATCTTCAGGGTGGTCAGCACGTCCACCTCTATCTTGACCCTGTTCAGTTCCGAGCCCAGCTGGCCATCCCAGGCCCCACCTCTTAGCCATTTTAGCAATTTTTAAAGTGTATATTGCAGTGGAAGTGAGTACATTCAGTTCGCTACCCTCCATCTCCAGAACTTTTTTCGCCTTCCAAAACTGAAAGTCCATGCCCATTAAACAATAATGGCACTGCTATATTTTCATTCACCCAAGCCAGAGATTCTGAGTTGCATCCTAGGTTCCTCCTTCTCCCTCAGCTTCATATTATATCCAGCACCTGGCCTAGCTGATTTCACCTTCTAAACATCTCATCTGTACAATTTTAGTAGCTTCCTACATAATGTCACGGACAGTCATCTTGCTCCACTTCTCCCAATGACCTGAAGGACAAAGACTTCTGGCTCTTTCCTCACCCCTCAATACAGTCTACTTCCCATTGCTGCCTCACATAGTCTGCACAAGCCCACATGCTGTCTCTCACTTCTGTTCCTTTGCACATGCCGTTCTCCCAGCTTGAGCCGAATTTCCTTTCCCTGTTCCCCTGGAGCACTAGTTGTCATTCAAGACCCAGGTTAAGCATCCACTCTTCCCTAGAGCCTTTTTTGCTCCCCATCCTCATCACCCCAATCCTTCAGATAATACTACTTCTTGGTGGGGGCTTTCATTAAACATTTATTTTACTTTATCACAGTGTGCTATAATTACCTATTTCTCCTTGCTGGGCAAGGACCAGCACTTGGTTAGGCTGCCATATACTGTTGATCAGGTTGTGCCCTGAGGCAACAAGCAGTGGCCAAGATCCAACCTGTACTTTACTTGCTAGATGCTTTTTCCTGGTATGAGACTACACCTGCTCAGAGGAAGCCATGCTGCCTTCTAATTCATACAAAGTAGCTGTTTTAGGGATGATGGTGTTTCTACTTGTTACAAAGTAAGGGCTCAATTAATGTTAGTCTCCTCTCTCTGTCCATCAGCAAATGCAACCACTCCTGGAGTGGAGTGTCATCCTAGACCCCAGACTCCAGTCTCCTCTGGGGCCATGAAGGAAATGGAAGCCTCAAGAAACTTCCTGCTTAGGAAAAGGGTTCCCCTTGGCTCCTCCTCTACCAGGACAGGGGTGTCTTTGCTAAACTGAACACAGTACATTACAGCCTTTGCAGAATTAAGTAGCATCTTAGAATTTTATGGGCTCTCCTAGTCAAGGATGGCAAACCCATAGCATGGAAGTTACCTTTCTGCCGTTCCTGGAGCACGGCAGACATTACCAATCAATTACAATAGCTCTCACAAACTTGAGATGCCTCAGAATCCTCAGTAGGGCCATTAATGCATTGTTTGAACTGAAGTTTAGAATAAAACTGATTTCTCATCCTCATTCTAATTCAACCCCTTATTTTATGAATGAGATGAGGTCCTCTTTCCTCTATGGCCTTCACTCCTCAACTCTGTCCCTTCATCTCTAGTTAACTTTGGCTTGGGATGATTCCTATTTATCATGTCCTGAGCAGTCTTAAAAATGGCCCCTTACAATAAAGTATTTCCTCAGCAGTCCTATTCCTTGGAATTGTGCTCTAGATAACTTAGCACTAAGAATCATAACATGTTTAACTTCAGAGAGCTGCTTCTTCAATTTCCTCACTCATTAGACAAAAAGATTGAGGCCCAGAAATTGAAGACAAGTGATTTACCCAAGACCTCAGGGCAACATATGACTGAGCTGGGCAAAGTCCAAATATTCTGACACCCAGGCCATGTCTCTCTCCACCACACCTTCTTGTGGCTGACATTTAATTTTTATTAGTCGATCCTCAGTGCATGGAACCACTGACTTTGGAGTTAGAAGAATCTTTTACAGTGCTTTTCCAGACTTTCACATAAGACAGAATTTCCTTTCTCTACACTCCTTTTTATATGAGTGTATTAAAAGGGCCATGTTAACATCTAGAGTGTTTAGGAAGCAGGAGATTGGTGTAGGGGAGAAACACTGAGCCTATATCAGTTGCAGCTCATCTGCTGGCTGACTGTGTGATTCAGGCTCTGAGTGGGCACTCACTTTGCTCATACTTTCCCGGCCCAAGACTCTATCCTAAAGTTATCACACATTAACTGACCAGATAACTGAGGGGTCTAGGCTCTCCAGCTTCACCATTCCCTTAATCTTTAGAAAATACACAGCATCTATAAGAAATAGTAAAGGAATGGAGCAAGATCTATAAGCTAGACTTTCCCATCCTCTCCATATCTGGATCTACTTATTCGGTTGCTGCAAATGGAACAGATCAGAAATAAAAATGGACTTCCTGAATACATTTTATCCTAAACACAAATGTTGGTGAGTTCATGGTTAGACTTCTGGAAACTATTTTTAATCTTTAAATTTTATTTATTAATTTTTTTTACATATGGAGTCTCCTGTGTTGCCCAGGCTAGACTACAGTCGCAATTCACAGGCATGATCATAGCGCAGTACAGCCCTGAATTCCTGGGCTCAGGTGATCCTCCCACCTCAGCCTCCTGACTAGTTGGGAACACAGGCATGCACTACTGCACTGGCTAAACTACTTTTAAAGTTCAATCCCAACTGCAGACTGGGCTAATACATAGTTAACTTGGCTAGAGGATGGAGCTAAGAAGTCTTAGAGGATTCTCTTGTGATGCTTCATATGAGAGAAAGATACACTGCAGCCTCAC